TAATTTGTAAGTTTATAGTTTATGCGTACGAATGTTTCAGTTTATCAGTAGTGACACTTATTGCCAATTTTCATTATTTTTTTATTTGATCACTGGAGTCCTGTAACAAGTTTGCACACAAAAAAGTTTGTGTAATCGTTACATTTAATCTATAGTAAAATTTATTGGTGATTTTTCTGTTACTTTTTATTTATTTGATCACCTTGTTGTTGCAGTCCTGTAGTTTAGTTAATCATTCATAAAACATGTTTGCACAAACTACTGCATTTAATTTAATGTGTAAGTTTATAGTAACAAATAAGACTGTTACAATTAATCCACAGTAAAATTTATTGGCAGTTTGCATTATTATTTTTTATTTATTTGCAATACAATATAGTTATTGAAATCCTGTAGTTTGGTTAATTATTCGTAAAAACCCTTGCACAAACTCGCATTAATTCGTAAGTTTATAGTTTGTGTAAGAATGTTTCAATTTATCATTAGTGACATTTATTGTCAATTTTCAGTGTTATTATTCATTTATTTGATCACCTAGTTATTGCAGTCGTGTAGTTTAGTTAATCATTCGCAAAAACATGTTTGCGCAAACTATCACATTTAAATTCATGTGTAAATTTATAGTTTGTGTAAGATTTTACAGTTAAAATATAATAGTAAAATTTAATGCCAGTTTTTTATTTGATCAACTAATTAATTATTGCAGTCATGTGGTTTAGTTAATCATTCAAAAGAAAAGGTTTACGCAAACTATCGCAATTAATTTAATGTGTAAATTTGTAGTTTACGCATAATATTTTTACAATTAAGCAACAGTAAAATTTATTGGCAGTTTTCATTATTATGATTTTTTTATGTTCACCTAATTTTTGCAGTCCTGTAGTTTATTTAATAATTCGTAAAAAATTGATTTGCATATGTATTACTAGGATCATTGTTTGCAAAAAAAAGTTTGCGTATAAGACCCAGCTAATTGATTAATTACAGACTATTTTCATTGTTAGTTTTCATTAATTTAATCAATTAGTTGTCTAACTTTAAAAAAATATCTAAAAACATGTTTGAGTATTCAGTAAGTCTAAATTTGTATGTTAAGCGGATCAGGCAAACTGTACACTAACCTTCATTCATTTCAACTGGTTAATGCAAACAATTTTACGCTATTCAGTGTTTTCGACTCGGCACATTAAACTGTCACAACCCACAGTTAAACAACACAAAAGACGAATCGGATATCTCTCCCTTCAGCCTGACAGTCCAAACAATCGTGGTCTTCGTTCTAACAGCGAATTTTTTTAGCCTCGTTTGTTTTTATTATGTAAATGTCCTGGAGGCTGGGGCGCTGAGCGCTGCCTGTAGACTGCAGAGCAGAGGGGCTTTCTTGCTTGAAATCTGAGCATTCATAATGAGACCCTGTGTGTGTGTGTGTGTGTGTGTTTGTGTGTGTTTGTGTGTGTGTGTGTTTGTGTGTGTGTGTGTT